TTCTCATCAGCCATTCCAAAAATTGTTTTAAAATTGCAATCATGAACACATTTGGATACTAATCTATACTCTGTTCCGTTTCAAGTTTGCAGCCGAAGTGCCCTGCTGAAGGCAGTGCGTGATTTCTGTATATACAGCTCTTGCATTTTAAGACACAAATTCTTGAGCGGAGGAGCGATCTGCCCAGATCTGCCGAAGAAACTCCGACTGCAAGCTTGATATGGAACATACTATAGATGCCCATTGTCCAACCTATCCGGTAATATATATAAAACCTCCGGTTAGCATCGGCATTCAGCTGGTGTTACTCTTGAATGTGTGAATGCAGTTTCCAAGACAAGTGAGCTAGATACCTATGCATGATTGCAGTCTCCACTGGAATTGGGGTGGAGGTGCCTATGCAACAATGCAGTCTCCGTAGATTTCTGAGATAGACATCTACATATGTGTAAGTTGTAACTGCAGTCTCCATGGGTTTATGAGATAGACACGTATTCGTGATTGCAGTCTCCATGGGCTTTTGAGATAGCCACCTATGCGTCATTGCAGTCTCCAAGGGATTGTGAGATATAGACGCATGTGCATGGTTGCAGTTTCCAGCGGTGGTAAGAAGCAATTGCAGCCAATATGGGCTTACGAGATATAGGTCTATGCGTGATGGTACCGTTTTTCATCACTTCCTCGTGCCATGACGGCCCGCACGCCTGTACTTACAAATAGCCACCGCTGTCAAGTCAACTGACCGCTTTCTACAAGCCACCCGTCTTGCCAGTCGGGGTGGCCCACTTTACCGCTCGCCAGCGAGCTGCCAAACAGCCAAAATCACCGTGTCGTCCTCACTGCTAGAACAGCCCCCGGGTCGCCTTCCACCGCCCGGGTCACAGTGGAGGTCCGCGAGGTTCCTCCGTTACCGGAAGTGCCTGTTTCCGGTGGTTTGAGTCGCAGCTAAACGAAGCGGTGGGTCGGGATGGGCGGTGGGAGTGGTGGCTGCGGGTGCGGCTAGGCCAAAGACATGGCCATTGATGGATGTTAGGGAGACGTATTTAGGTGTGCATATCCCTTCCCGCAGCGTCCGAAATTGTGATATTAGCCATTTTCTTGCGTAGACAGAAGAGTAAAATGCTGAGAAGTTCGCTTGACTTTTACAGCAACGTATGAAACTCGGAGGGTTTTTACTCTTTTACGAACAATTTTTGATAGCCTTTGCCTGTAAACCATCCCCACGCAGCGTCCAATTTCTTGATCCGTCAGACAGTAGCGCGCGCGCCGTAGCGACGATGGCACGTTTTGGTGCGCTAGTTTTGCACGGGTACGGGTCAAAAGTCAACAGTGAGAGCTCCGGTGTTCCGCCGGAACAGAAGTCCGAGTTGCCGTATGGTCATGTGGAGTGGCTATAAAAAATTGTTCGTTAGGACCACTGGTCTGATGATGACGTGTGAGAAATACTGTTATGACGTCACTAGCAGTTCAAGCCGACTTTTTGCTCAGCTATTGGTCCTGGACTGGATAAAAGAGTAAAATTTTATAAGCAACGGTCAACTCGGGTCCACGGTTATTTGCTATTATAGAAGGGGCATTCCACGATAGATCGACCAAAGCCGTACACCCTCATATTTTATTTTTTGCTTAATATTGGTCTAATGGGTTGTGATGGGCGGGGAAGCCAGCTGTGCCAAGGATTTTTTCCTTCGAACAACGGTTTCCGAGATATAGCCTCAGGCAATTCCTGGAGGTCACGCTGCAACCCTATGTTTGGCGGCTTATAACTCAGAAACTATTGGTTTTCTATGGTAAAAACTTTATATGGTTCAACTTGCAATCAACCAACAAACGTTTTGGCTATCTCGGATTTTCGATTTTTGAAAATTTTGATCACGTGACATCTTGACCTTTTTTTCGACAAGTGACCTTGATATTTTCCCAACTGAAAGTCGCAATTATGTCTGATGACGATTAAAGCCTTATCAATTATCATTCATATGCGCAAATAAAAAAGTGGCTTTCGGCCTGCGTTGACCTCAGGTCAGGTCATTTTTATGACCTGTCCATTATTACGAGCGGGAGCGACGCGAGATCTCGAGAATAAAGCAAGATGGCGACAAGCGGTAAACGGTACAGGATTCACACGGATAAGGTCAACAATTTTTACGGAGGTCATTTTCAGGTCAGGTCAACGATGACGTCACAGGGGTAAAAAGGAAGTCAAAATAGTTTTGGCTGTACCATTTGATCTAATAAAGAGAGAGACGTGGAACAGGCACCATTGTGTTTGCTTTCGCCTAGCGCCAGTTCGTTTTGAATTTCAATACCGATGACCTAAGATCAGGTCAATTTCTTGACCACCCCATTATAAGTCATTTGGGGAAAAATCAGCTCCCTTGTTTTTACACTAAAACGCGTCGGAATTGCCTAATATACCATGAGTGACTTCCCTACGACTAACTTTGACAACCTTGAGACCTTTTTTGCTCTTGGTCAACTGTGACGCTGCTCTTGGGTCATGTGACGTCATTAAAGGTCACCAAATGTTTTTTTTGCTAATAACTCCTTACAGGTTTGAGATGCAGCCGCGCGGATAGGCTCATTGTGTTCAGCTCGTCAAGGCCCATCGAATGATATATATGATGACCTTAAGGTCACGTGACCTAAGGTCAACTTTTGACCTTGACCTTTCGAGGTCAACATACACATGTTTCGATGCGGATTAACGAGAGAATCACGATGGTGCTATTAGTTTGTTCATAGATGGGATACTTTGAAAGTTATTCGAGAAAAACTTCATATATATGTAGTGCCGCCATTTAGACTTTCTTTTTACCCCTGTGACGTCATCTTTGACCTGACCTGAAAATGACCTGAGAAAAATTGTAGACCTTATCCATGTGTACTTTGTGCCGTTTACCACTTGTCGCTATCTTGCTTTGTTCTCGAGATCTCGCTGTCGCTCCCGCTCGTAATAATGGGAAGGTCATAAAAATGACCTGATCTGAGGTCAACGCAGGCCGAAAGCCACTTTTTTATTATCGCATATGAATGACAATTGATAAGGCTTTAATCGTCATCAGACAAAATTGCGACTTTCAGTTGGGATAATATCAAGGTCACTCTTCGAAAAAAAGGTCAAGATGTCATGTGATCAAGATCTTCAAAAATCGAAAATCCGAGATAGCCAAAACGTTTGTTGGTTGATTGCGAGTTGAACCATATAAAGTTTTTACCATAGAAAACCAATAGTTTCTGAGTTATAAGCCGCCAAACATAGGGTTGCAGTGTGACCTCCAGGAACTGCCCGAGGCTATATCTCGGAAACCGTTGTTCGAAGAAAAAAATCCTTGCCACAGCTGGGTTCCCCGCCCATCACAACCCATTAGACCAATTTTAAGCAAAAAATAAAATATGAGGATGTAAATTTTATTTATTTTTGGTCGATCTATCGTGGAATGCCCCAGAAGGTTTGAGAAGAATGAGTGAAAGGGTCCTTCAGCCACAACAAAATAGTTTTCTGTAAAGGTATAGGTACTTACAAGGACGAGATCTTACCTAGCAAAATATTAAAAAAAATAATATTATGCCTCTATTCCAAAAGCCGCCATTCAGTGAGGCGAGACAACTGACCCAGATATTTTACATTCGCTGGGGACACCTTTGAGGAAAAGGCTCGGCTGAGCGACTTTTCTCAATAGCCGGCTCCCCTGCCTCGACTGCCAAAGCATGTAACGCTATTGGACGTTTCTCCCAAATCGCTCTTATTACTTTCACTGCCCCTCGCCGATTTTCAATGACGATGTGACGAGGGAAATCATCTCGCAAGCCTGCCCCGGCCGTATACTTACATGACCATCAAGTAACGGCGAAAGGAAACTTATGGAGTGGAACGGAACTCCACCTCGGCGCCAGTCAGGGTAGGCGAGTTGGCAACCGTTACACGGGATAGTCTCCGAGCGTCGTAATGTGATTTAGCTTCGGGAGTACGAGTTTCATGAGCAAGCGTGAGAACAATCGGTCATTCTTGCCTAGCGTACTCGGTGTAGACATTTGACATCTCGGTGTTACACAATATGTTATGTTCTTTTGTCGTAAAGATCGCGTGAATCCTAGCCATCGGTTGACACATCGTTTTGTGAGAAGTATATAAAAATATCATAATTTCAACTACTGAAACTCGGGTCCAGCAGTGTCAAATTCGAATAGAAAATGGCAACGCATGTTTCCTGAGGTCTGATAGTGTCGTCAGTCACCACCACGACCGTCCAGCGTAAAACAATACGCTGTCTCAGAACATATCTTCTCAGCCCAGCAGCTGCATTTACAATCAACATTTCACACGAGTCATCGCACCCAACCCCCGGTGCCCCAGTGACCCTGCCCCCTGCCCTGGGGCGGTGAAAGTCGACACTGCCGCTGACCTGTCGTGAGAGAGGTCAGCGGGGTCATCGCTGTCGGCCGACCTCGGCGGCAGTCGGACCGGTTCCACCGGTGGGGATGGCATGGGCGGGCAGGGGAGGGGAGGGTGCTCAGGCGCACCATGGCTAAAGGATATTGAAGCGGCTGCAGGTTATGTTGTGTCCGGTGTAGTGGCTTATATTGTCATCAAAGTGGTGGTCCGTAACTGCTTTACTTTTTATAACTTCAGAAATATTTATGACACCTAATCCTAAGGTTGTCATACAGTTCGAGTTCTGGAAAATGCGGCCTCTACACACATTAAGGTCCGAACTAGAGTTGGCGTATCTTTTTTTTTTATACACTTCATTAGCCCAATGTTTGGCTAACGTTATGTTGCTCAATCATTACAAGGGCAAGATCGTGCCCGTCCTCTACTGGTCGTCCGGCAACCCTCTCAACCTCAACAATTATCAGCACCAAAATCGCGCCAACGAAACGGGAGACCAGCCTGAGTGGTCCTTTGAAATGATCGTCGAATTCGTAACTCTTTCCGTGCGCGAAAAAAAATCCAGCTTCTCAAAACTCCCGAACAGGCGATGAAACAGGTCAGAATATAAGTTCAGCTTGTGTATTTATTATCACAAAGTAACTGGAACGCTGGGCAACTGATGCATGTTGACTCAGAAACGCTTCGCAAAACTAACGGGGGGTAAGGTGCTTCGCCTCACATAACACTCAAGCGTGTCCACGAGCAACTATCAGTATCTTTGGGTGGCGAATTGACTGGGCTTTCCACACGTTCACTTGGCTATGTAGGTAACATAAACGAAGAAAAGTGACGAATGCATTTCAGAAACGAATTAATCGCTTAGAAACTCATTGTCCTCTAGAAGCGGGATCAATTCTCCAGATTAACAGATGCGAGTGCTTAAAAACTCAACTTTGCACGAACTCCGCCAATGCACCGATAACCCTGAAAGATCACACCTCCAAAAACATCGCAACATGTCTGGTCTATCACATATCCCACCCTCTTTTCTCCCATGTCTTCTCTCTCAAAAACATTCCACAAGCCTCCCCTCCCCACTCAGCTCGCCACCTCGCCACCCCCTCCACCGTCCGTCCCATTCACCTCACCCTTCTTCCCCTCTCCCTTCCCCGCTGACGTTGGGGTCAGTCCCAGTTCTTCCATCACCGCAGGCACGTGCTTTTTTAGCTGTTGCTCCGTCGGCTGGAAGTCTGTGTCGATCCAGATCTGTCGCAGACGGTCCAGCACGCGGCTCATGTGGCGGCCGACCGGCACACCGGCCTCCTGGGAGAGAGCGGGGAAGAAGAGACAGTCAGATGGAGGCAGGAGGAATGGAATACTACAACTGGGTCAAATTAGTACCACGCTAGGTTTTAGCCCTACACTGGATTTCCAAACGGAGTCATTGGTATGTACTTAGGAAAAAATGAGGGGCTAATAAAAATTTTACATGCACTCGAAGTTTTATAAAGGCTCAGCTTCTGGAACTGAAACTGCTGAATCGGGGAAATTTAGCGTCTTCAAGTTCGATTTAAAAGTTACTACGATCTATAAACGGAATATCGTGAGTGCCGATTATTTCAGTATTCTTGAATTAGAATGGGCACCAGCATGCCAACAAAATATCGCCATTTTCTTACCTTTAGTGTCGCCCCATTCACAGGAAACCGCGGCATCTCCCAGGCGTCAAACTCGGCCGCCAGCTGGTGCTGTCCTCTATAGCGCAGCAGCTCAACTATGAACAGCTTCCCGACCCGCTTGGAGGCGCGGTAGTCGGCCAGGAGCTGCTGATAGGGCCTCAGAGGCTGCGGGTGCGGCGGCGGAGTATCCTCTCGATGTGTGACGATGAACAGGCCCAGGTCCCGCTCGAAGGCGGAGAGCTTGAGACGCTGGTGAAGAGCCATCATCTCCTCTAGGGTTCCTGCAGAGAAAGAAGAAAATGAATCAAAAGAACCTTATGGAAAGTAAACCCATGCGACATGATTTCTCAAAACGTTTCGCCGACGCTGGTAAAAAGTGGCTAAGTTTGCAAAAAAAGAGACTGATCATGATGCAATACATAGGGCAGTGGCAGCAATAAAAAACCTTCTCGTGCCCCTGAACTCACCGAGTGCAGAAGCAAGCCTACCACTTACAAACTCACGAACTAGCCCTTACCTACCCCCCCCCCCCCCCGGCCCAGGTGAACTTACTGAGCAGACCCGCCAGCAGTGTGATGGGCTGCGGCTCCTGTACCACCTCCATCCTCTCACATATCCTCCCAAACTCTGCCGTGTCTGGGTCGGGCGGCAGACCGATGTGAGGTCCCACGCCGAGATCAAGCATGGTGAGCATTAGCTCACGGTGGTACCTGGGCAGATAAGGTACAGAGGGTTACATGGAGCGATGACGGTTGGTGGGAGTTTAGGACTCGCTATCATAGAAAGCAACAACATATTGAACATTCTGAAAATGATTCTCATTGTGGGCGTATTGCATTTTAGCTGTTCAGCTAGTGATTTATTTTGCTTGGCTACCTTCCTTGTTGGAGGTAATTAGAAAATGACTTAGTTAACTCGACCTCCGTAACAAACAGATTATACCCCTTAGAAGTAGGTGATATCTAGAAATTCAAATAATCTGCAAACATGAATATTGAATATGGAGAAAACACGTTTTATTTTCAATTGTATCACTCCACCAAACTTTCTTTGGTCTTCCCGCAGCTCAGCCTCCTATCAAGACGGGACAAATCTCCTTCACTCTCCACTCACCGTCCAGCCAGTATCCGTTTCAGTTCTGACCAGATCCGTTCTCCAGAGATCCGGGCCAGGCCGGCGGCGTTCTCCCGCACCGCCGACAGTGCTGCCGCCTCGTGGCCGTCGGCCGAACCAGACAGGCGGCCGAAGAAACGGAAATACCGCAGGATGCGCAGGTAGTCCTCTTGGATACGGGTGGAGGGGTCGCCGACGAACCTGGAGAGGGAAAATATCAGCTGAAACACTGAACATTGAGCAGAACATTAAACTGTTTACTTACTGTGACACTTTTGAGTGGGTAGGCCAAGCCCAGACTGTGGTCTGGGTAAAGTCATTCTAGTTTTATGACGACAAAAGATGAGCTCGTAATGCAGGGAATTTAGCGGTTAATTTCTATCTTGCCCCTTGGACTACCTTCAGAGTTCACAAATAAACTTCGAAAGCCTCCTATAATAGTTGTGACAATGGCCACATATTCCTAAATAATGAAATATTCGTCAAGTCTCTACCCATACGAAGTGTCCTGCGGGCCACTCTCCCCACCTAATGCGCCGGTGCTGGAGGTCCTCGTAGCCGTTGAAGTAGTCGTAGACGGTGCCGTTCAGGTCCAGAAACATGGCGTTGACGGTGAGGTCCCGCCTGCCAGCGTCCTGCTGCCAGTCGGTGGTGAACTGAACCTGAGAGAATGGGGGAAGAAGCCAGGGTTAGAAAACGCGATTTATCGAGGTAAGGCTCTGGTGTAAATTGAACCGCAGGGGAATTGAGAAAGTGACAGAGGGTACGGAAGGGGTCGATTACGACTCAATCGAGAAAAGTTACTTATAGTGCAAGCCAAGGGGAGAGGGCAGATAACTTAAACGCTGAATCAGAGTGATTCTAGCCATGCTTGATTTATGAGATAATGTCACAGCTCCTTAGCCTGTTTTTGCTGTGTCTCGAAAATTTTGTGTTCAACACCAACTACAAGCGCCATTTCTCCTTTTTCGCCTTCCTCTATTCACCCTGCCCCTCCTTCCCGTTCTCCCATCCTTCCCTCCCACCCGAACCTTCTTCACCCTCTTCCACTAACCTCGGCATGTCTTCCATCCGTCGCCACGTCAATCCTCAGCGTGGTCACCTCCATATTTACGGCGTCATTCACCCGGGCTGTAATCGTGCCGTGCTTTTCTCCCTTGGTGTTTATGAGGCGGACCTGTTCGGCTGCGAACAGGGCCTTCATCTGGTCCGGGGTGGCCGGTGTGGCAAAGTCCAGGTCGGCTGGAACAATGCCTGTCGGGGGGTGGGGAGGGGGTGAAAGAGAGGAGTGTTGGCCGTTGGGTGGATTGTTTTAGGGGACACCTATCTTGAAAGCAATGTATGAGTTGAGCCAGTGCACCATTTGGACATTTTGTAATGACATGCTCAATGCTCATAGTTCATCATCAACAAAAGAGTGAGACTTGCAACGGTTACTGTACCTCCTACTTAGTACTTACTAACTGAGACGTGTGCTATTATAACTTGGTTGATACTAATTTATATGAGTGCAGCGCTGGTAGTTGGTACACAAACAGACGAGTCTTGATGTTAGAAAGAGGACCCTCACGGAGCCTGTTGCCCCTTGAGCACCCACCTGAGAGCATATCTCTGACAGCGCCGCCGGCGAGTCGCAGCTCGTAACCATGGCGACCAAACATCTCCGCCAGCTGCGTCACTTCCGGCGTGCGCAGCGGCGCCAGCTGCTCAGCCGACAGCTGCATGGTGAGCAGCTGTCGGCGCGGCGGCAGCTGCCGAGAGCAGGGCTTCCACAGCTGCCGGAGAAGGATGGGCAGCCGGCAGCTGCGGCCCACGGCCGTTACCATAGGGCGATGACGTCAGCGGGTGACGATAGTGACGTCAGTGGAGGCAGTAGTGACGTCAGTGGAGACGGTAGTGACGTTATTGGAGGCAATGCAGCGAGAGTAAGACGGGGCTACCTGTAGATGAAAACGGTCTAGTGAAACTGGGACAAAGTTGGACACGATTTAAGAAATTTACGAAGGCTGCTTTTGGGGTAGCAAGTTGGGGTGATCGAAAGAAAATAATTATCACCCCGGATCATCGATCAAAAAATGAGCTTAAGGAAAGTTATCAAGGCAGACCTGAGACCAGAGACATCCTTTTCACCATCAATTGGTGTAACACATGTCTTCTTCACGCACAAGCCATAACCCCATGCGGACTTCTTTGTGGCCTTGATTGGCTATTGGCTACTCCCTGTGCGAGTCGATTTGACGATTTAATTGGTGTAGTTACTAAAATGGGGTTCAGGTGTTGAAGTAAGCTTGTTTCCGCTGCACGAATACGTAATCCATGCGCTGCATGTACTAAATGAGCGGCGAGAATGTTGAACGTAGTGACTAGTGATATAACTACTTTTTCACAATGTAGTTCCAGTCGTGTGTTCGGACGTTCGAATTCCTTTTAGATACGAAAAAAGACATTTAATTTGTTGAACAGTGCAATTTCCACACCATTCTTAATTGGATCTCAACATAGTTGCATCCGGCACCCATAAATCCGTTTTTTGAGTTTCGATCGTTTATTTTTGTGCATTTACTTCAGCATGGTTAAAAATACATCGGTTTCACATAAATTTGCGACAAGTACTAGCCAAGAGAGACACGTTGACATTAAATAAGCAATTACATAAATGCCATCGACAAGCAGAGGTGCTGATATGGTCCCCGTAAAACATCATCGATAAACATTCCATAGGTATTGAGCGACACGCCAAAAATAAGTGCCGTAAGTGGTGCGTAGACATCCCCAATAAACCCTGTGCGACATTCCATTCCATCATGTCGTTCTAAAGCACTGATAAGAATGAGATAGATATTGCAAATCAGAAATAAGGGATAAACCAAGAAATTGAAAGAAAAGCATGGGAAGTATAGGAACGTGTAACATATACATACCACTACAGGCATACGAGGAATATTGCTCCGATACGAGCGTGATTAAAATACAACCTTCACTTAGTTGTTACAAGATGTGCGATACAAAAGTAACCCCAGCACACAAGCACATTATCCATACTTAAACTCCTCATACAAAGCAATCATCAAATCCCAAAGCATCATACAATCAAGCAACGATGTAGGGAAAACATTGATCGGTACAGCAGGCTTTACTATTTTGTTCTATTCAATGGATAAATGAGATAATATCGCTAGTAGAATAAACATAGACACTGGAGAGATTTACACGATTTGATCACATTGCTTAGTTGTTATAGTCCATATCACATCATCGCATTAATCACTTGTTACAACACCAGCATATTACAGATCCCATTGGTACTAGCCATTTCACGCCATATTTCATACTGATGAGTAAAATGGTCATATGAGCTGATTACATCGCAATGCCTTCTACCGCTTAATAGGTCACTAAAAGCATCCAATAAACATACCAACCTCTATTTCTGCTCCAAAACCACCTCCTCGTTACTTCCGGAGCCAGTAAACTCCAAACATGCTTAGCACTGCTTCAAGAAACATATTGACCTCTCAGCATCGCACCAGCTCCACAAAGCATGGCGCTCTCTCAGCATACCATCGCTGGCCACCAAATAGGGCACTTTTCACCCATCAATAGCGCATCAGCTTTAGCGGGAAGTTCTCACTCACCAGGTGGTCATCTTCAAACACCAGCACCACATTCACCGAGAAATCCAGCTGGAAATGTGCCGTGCTAACTGACGGACACGTAAACAGCCTCGGGAACACCATGTGAACTGGAATAGCCAGGCCTCGCGGCACATCCCCCAGCCCGATCTGAATGTTCTGCACCTCAGAGGACTGTACAGTGTGCGCCTCCTGGCGTCCACACGCCTCAGAGCGGACCAGCTGCAGCTCCAGACTGCGCACGGGAGCGTCGCAGCTCTCCAGTATCACCTCTCCGCGCAGCGGCTCACTCAGGACGCACTCAGTCGTCTCCAGACGGCCGCGCAGGCGGAACCGAGGCGGAGGACGCGTCGGAGCGCTCTCCGCTCGCTCCGCCTTCACGAGACTGGTGGGAGTGACGAGAAACTGCAGCGGTCGCTCCGCTGCAGGAGGTGCCACGCCCCGCGCCTGCTCGATCATAAACTCCAGCTGAGTGTGGATGTCTTTGGCCATCATTCCTCGTCGCACCTCACACCCGAGAGTGTACTGAACACTTACATACAGTCCGTGGTATGTCTCATAGAGCGGCCGGCCATGCCGGGCAGCCAGCGCCACCTCAAACGGAATCTCTGTGACTCCCGACGGGAATCGCCCAGGAGCTGCCAGATCCAGACGCTCTTCCAGAAGCTTCAGCGAGCGCGGCGTGGCGTAGAAGGCGTCCACAATTCCCGCCGACTTGCCTGAGTGTGTGAGCTGCACGGATCCGGTGACGGTGAGCGAGACGCCCTCGTGACGCAGCGCAGAGCGGCACGTGACGGCGGCCACACCGCAGAGCAGCTCGCCCTCAGAATACACCTTGGATGCGCGCTTCAGACGCAGCTCCACGGTGGCCATCGTGGTGGTGAAGACGATGGCGGCTGGAAACAGAGCAACAGGCTCGGCTTGGCTCGACTCAGAGGCGCGCGGATGAAGATGTTGGCTGTGACTGGTGGTACTCGTATGTTCACAAAATTCCACTTTCCCTTCACTGATTCCATATGAGCAGACACACTAATAACTATGCATATGCACTTCTGGTAAAATGCCTTGGATGCAACCTCATTAATATTTCATATTATTATCAACACTCATATTATTTATTTACACTAGAGCATCCTTCATCTTATATTGATAATAAGGAGCCAAATTCTTACACCTCTAATTCATGAAAATGTGATCTTTTTTCTAGGGTGAATGTGGATATGTGAGGTGAAGGCCAATAATCATAAGAAGCGTAGCCTATCCTGAAGGTTGACCATCAGATTGTAAGAGATCAGGAATATGCCTAACAAAATTTGGAGACTTTAGGTTTAGAGCCTTCACCATGATTCATGGCATTTGGCAATGTGTCTCACTGCTGGATAAAATGTGCTCAGCTCATCAACTTCATCTGGTCTGTTCTATGACCACAGACAGCAATGATCCTGGACCAGTGGCATACAAATTGTCCCTGAGCAAGCAGTGAGCTAAAAATCATGAAGTCACTAGAACTGGGCACTAACCATAGGCCAGTTCTGGAAGCCAAAGGCCATGTGACAAGAAATCCTGATTGAAAATGATAAAGGAATGATGTTAAGCTCATGCTTAAAATACATAAAAATTAGTTAATGCATGTTAAGCTCTTACATGTAAATTGGTAAAAATGGAAAAGATTGATCCTATGCCCCTGAACTCCTAATCATTTAGTGTTTAACAGCACACATGTCAATTCTGCAAATGTGGAAGATACCTCATACTGTTTTTGGACCTCTCATTGATGAACAGCGCAGGCCAAATATTTTCACCAATGAGACACAAAACTTTAAGCTTTGAAGACAAGCTGGCTGGCCCATAGCAAACCAGCTGAAAAGAATGGGGCCTGGACGCTGTTTGGTCATTGCAGCATGCCATTCATTATTTATTGACTTAACTTCTCATTAGTCAAATTCATGTAATATATGTGGTTGACCAATGAGAGGCCAATAGAAATCAGCAATGAACTTCCTTTAAAGGGACCCTCCCACCTTCAAAAAAGTTAATGAATTGGCATGAAAGTGATGTCGCTCGGTTCAGAAAGAGCAAAAATGAATATCTACCAAATTTCATCGAAAAATATTCACCGGTTTTCAAGATATTAGACTTTTACTTTTGTTTACTTTTTGGGATCTCCGCTGTTCCTAGCGACTTTATTTGAAAGTGCGGCATTTGTTGCGCGCAAAGCAGCATATACCACCGCGTGCTGCCAAACGTTTTAGTAAAAGATTTAAAAATCGTTAGATCTCCGCGGACGTCACAAATTCTAAGGGGGCATACCAATGCATTAGCCCCTTAGAATCCGAAAACTGCAAGTTTGAAATTCCATATCTCCGAATTAAAGCATTTTTCGATGTTGTGAATGCCCAAACCGGTATTTTCAGGCCATGGCCACCAATTTGGCTATCTCAACTCAAAACTAATGTTAAGGTGGGAGGGTCCCTTTAAATGGAAAACCAGCAGCATGCTAATAATACGCGGTGACAGGAGAGCGCAGGACAACAGCTGAAAAGCAGGCACATGTTGTTGAATAACTATAAATCAAAATGATACTATACATGTTTTCTAAAACAATCATCGAATGTCCTTCAGGATTTCATTTCAAATTCATTATTGGATCACAGCCATTCACCCCAACTCCAATTTACAAAAACGTCGATACCTACCGAAGTCGGAGATTGAGATGAAGATCGGAGGAGAGTGGAAACCGATGCTTGGAGTATCAAATTGTTTCCTTGAGAACAGGCTTGAGAAGTTCAAACTACGAAAAATGGATCAAAGAGTTATGAATCGCTTCCCTTCTGTCAAAAAGTAGCAAAATATTAATAAGAGCAATCGCCCCCCGCGTAGCAAACAACCGGAAATAAGGTGCAGCATTCATAGAAAGGAAAACTTCATATCAGTCGGGCAAGTGTGGTATTTCCGATCCATTTATGGAAACGTTTCCATTTTTGGAACAATGTTCCAAAAATGGATACGCCGTTTCCAAAAATAGAAACGGTCTGTTCCATAAATGGAGACGCTGTGTGCATCTCCACCTTTAAAGTAAACTGGGCATTGATTGGTGCAATTTGGCATGTGCAGGATGCCACCAATCGACAGCCAGCATTCTAGTTTATGTTCCTGTTTTCCGACTTTCCGATCAGAAAACCGAAAATTGACGAACGAGGCGATGATTTACCGGGGTTACATGAGCGATCCGTTCCAAATACGCACTACGCTAATGCGCATCAGCTCCCCACAAACGGATCTACGGCACCGGTTACATGAGACTAATTCGTTTTATCTACGTCAAACGGATCTTGTTTGGCTCACCCGGGCTGACTCCTCGAAAGTCGGTAATTCGCATCACAAACGGAATAGTGTAGCGGGTGCAACAGCGCTCCGTTGCTAGCGACGGCGCCGTAGCGTGTGCAACCCAGCGGCGGCGTCGTAAACTAGTAAATCCTTTTGATGCACGCAGATGTCAGTGGTTGATTGACACATATGTCTTGTGATTGTTTTCTGCCTTATATGTTATCTCTTGTAACCGTAGCTGTTGTATTGTCACGCCTTAAGAGGGTAATCTAGGAGCGCAGGTGTGGAGTAATTTTTCTTTGTCCAACTGTCACTGTAATTTGTAATATTACCATTTAGACGCTGAAACTACCTATGCAAGGTAGCCTTGCTAGAAATATAGTGTGCCAATTTTTGTTCAATAAATCAGCACGATCCACGATCGGTAACTCGTTCATCCTAGTCAAGCTCAGAGCTACCGACACGGGCCCACATCGGGAGTCTCCTCCTCCCTTGGAGTTGTGTGGTGCCGACGGTGGCGGATGGTAGACTCTGCCTTGACAATCCTTTCACTCCCTCTCACAACGAGAGGTGAACTACTAGCGGTATACACTGTTAGCGGTTCAAGTGGCGACCGGCTACTCTCAGCCGTGCCACATTGGTGACACCCGACTCTGGACTCACCTGCCAGACACTTACTTCTGGCCGTCTCACTGGCCTCGCTGTGGTACGGACCACTACTGGCCTTCTCACCTGCCAGACGGCCACTTCCGGACTTCCACCTTCTCTCGCCGCGGTGCGGACCCCCAAGGCACGCAGGATTCGCCGCGGCACGCAGGATTCGCCGCTGACTGGGGGTACGCCATCAACACGCCAGCGGATTGTGATGCCTTCCCGGACCTCTGTAACGCAGCGAGCGTAGTGGGCAGCGGCCAGGTCCGGGATGAGCAGTGCGTCGTCTCGGGCTCTCAGTGTACAGTGTTAACCCCCGGACCACGGTAGCGCAGCGAGCGCAGTGGGCAGACGAGTTGCCGGTCCGGGGACGCGGCGCGGTACGGTGACGTGTACACCATGCCCGTGATGGAGGGCGACACCTCGCAGGAGGCTGCGTCGGCCGACACTCCTGCCACCACGGCTGCATCGGACGAGCGGGCGCGACCGCTTGCTTCATTCAGACTGCCGGCGTTTGCCCCGGACGAGGCGGACCTCTGGCTGCTCCAAGTTGAATGTGCGTTCGACGTGGCTGGCATTGCCGATCCCGTCACAAAGTTCAAGCTGCTGGTGGCAAATCTGCCTACCAACGTGGCGGCCCAAGTACGGGACGTTATCGTCAGTGCACCAGGAGACTTCGACGGGCTGTGCACTGCCCTCCGCCAGCGCCTCGCCCAGTCCCGTGCCAGCCGCCTCGAGGCCCTGCTCCGGCATCAACAGCTCGGCGACAGGTCGCCTTCCCAGCTTCTTCGCGATATGAGAGGACAACTTTCAACGGCTGGCGACTCGTCGGTGGACAGTGGCCTACTGAGGACCCTGTTCCTCCAGCGGCTGCCGCAGTCCGCCCGCGCCGCTCTCTCGCTCCTGCCGGAGGCCACTCCGCTGGCAGAGCTCGCAGAGGCGGCTGACCGCTTCCTGGAGGCGTCTCGGCCCACTGGCGCCGTCTCCGCCGTAGGTGCGAACTCCAGCCCGGCTCCTGCGGCCACGACTGGGGACGGAGATCTGGCTGCCGCCATCGCTTCCCTGTCCGCCGTCATCAGCCGGCTGGACACCTCCCATCGGCGGTTGGAGGGGGCAGTTGCTGGTCGCCGCTCGCGGCCAGGAACGCCTAGGCGTGGCTCCCGGTCGTCCTCGCCCTCCCGCGACGAGCGGGAGGATTACTGCTGGTACCACCGCACCTACGGAGCGCGGGCCCGAAAGTGCACTGGGCCGTGTGCGTGGACGCCGGCGGGAAACTCGGAGGCCTGAGCCGGCCTGCGCCTCCCGCATCAGGCCCGACACCGGACTTGGCGCCGCTCTTTTATGTGCACGATACTAAATTGAACTGCCGATTCTTGATAGACACTGGGGCCCAAGTGAGTGCCCTGCCTCCTCACGCGCTCCCGCGAGGCGCAGTGCTAGCCGCCGGACAGGCTCCCCGACTGACCGCGGCCAATGGCTCCAGCGTGCCGGTCATCGGTCTGTTTGACCACTGTGTGACTTTGGATGGTGGCTCGCCTCTGCCGTGGCGTTTTGTGGTGGCCAAAGTCGGCGTGCCCATCCTCGGCGCCGACTTTCTGGCCCATCACTACCTCTCGGTGGATGTGAGGAGGTGCACGCTGTGTGAGGACAATGGAACTGTCAGAGCGAGGGGCACCACTGCAGTAGTGTCCTCTTTGGGTCTCCGACCCACTGCCTCGCCCTACCAGTCGATGCTGGCGGAGTTCCCGGGCGTCACGGCCGACACCTCCCGTCCGCTTCAGGTACGCCATTCGGTGACGCATCATATCGTCACCACGGGCCCGCCCCGGAAGTCACGCCCTCGCCGTCTCGCTCCTGACCGGCTTGCTGTCGCTCGCCGAGAGTTCGACAAGCTCTACCGGCTCGGCGTCATCCGCCCGTCACAGAGCAGTTGGGCTGCGCCGCTCCACCTGGAACCGAAGGCCACTCCTGGCGAGTGGCGCCCGTGCGGGGATTACCGGGCTCTCAACGCTGCCACCGTCCCCGACCGGTACCCTCTCCCGTACCTCCAGGACTTCGCCTCTCAGCTGCACGGCTGCTCCATCTTCACCAAACTCGACCTCCACCGGGCCTACAACCAGATACCCGTGGAGCCGTCCGACGTGCCGAAGACCGCTATCACCACACCCTTCGGCCTGTGGGAAATGGTCCGCATGCCCTTCGGCCTGCGTAATGCCGGCCAGACCTTCCAACGCTTTATTGACGAGGTCTTGCGCGACTGCACCCACTGTTTCGCATATGTCGATGACATACTGATCGCGAGCTCGTCGGAGACGGAGCACATCGGACACGTGCGAAAAGTGATCCAACAGCTGGACGCGTACGGCGTGGTACTGAACGTCCACAAATGCGTCTTCGGCGTTCCGCGGCTGAACTTTCTGGGACACGACGTCAACTGTGACGGCATCGCCCCACTGCCGGACCGGGTGGCAGCCGTCCGGGACTTCCCGCTGCCTCGCACCGAGCGCGACCTTCGGCGTTTCATCGGAATGGTAACGTTTTACCACCGATTCATGCCCGACGCCGCCGCCCTGCTTCGCCCTCTGCACCGGCTGATCACACAACGCAACGCCAAGAGCGCTCGGCCCGTCCGTTGGACTGACGAGGCCCAGTCGACCTTCACCGCCGTCAAGGCGCGCCTGGCGGACACCACCCGACTGGCACACCCTCTGCCAGGTGCACCACTCAGCATCCAAGTGGATGCCTCGGATGTCGGCGTCGGCGCGGTTCTCCAACAGTTCGTGGACGGCTGCTGGACACCGCTGTCCTACTTCTCCAAGACACTCAAGCCTGCCGAAACGCGCTACAGCACTTTCGGGCGCGAGCTGCTGGCCTGCTACCTCGCCATCCGGCACTTCCGCCACAGTGTCGAGGGCCGGGAGTTCATCCTGTTCACGGACCATCGACCCCTGGTGTCGGCTGTGGGGTGCAGCTCCGATCGTCACGCTCCTCGCGAAACTCGTCACCTGGACTTCGTCAGCCAGTTTACTACTGATGTCCGTCACGTTCCCGGACGGAACAACGTAGTGGCGGACGCGCTCTCTCGGATCACGACCGTGCTCTCCGAACCTCGACCACCCCTGGACGACTTCGAGACTCTGGCGACGGCCCAGCAGACCGATCGGGAGCTCCAGGCGTTCGTCGCCACTCGTCACTCCCTCCGCCTGCGCTCCGTCGAGCTGCCCAGTGGTTCAACGCTGCTGGTGGACGAATCTACAGGTCGCCCTCGGCCACTGCTGCCAGAGGACCTCCGGCGACCCTACTTCCGCCTTCTGCACAGCCTGTCACACCCGGGCGTCCGTGGCACCCAGCATCTCGTCGCCCAGCGATTTGTGTGGCCCGGTATGAACCGTGACGTCGCGACGTGGACGCGAGCGTGTCTCCAGTGTCAGCGGGCTAAAGTGCAGCGTCACACGCGTACCCCAGTGCAACCGTTTCCGCTGCCGGCGGCACGGTTTGACCACGTGCACATCGACCTCGTGGGTCCGTTGCCCCCGTCGGACGGTAACCAGTACCTGCTCACCTGTGTGGATCGGTTCACGCGCTGGGCAGAGGCGCTGCCCTTGCCGGACATTCGTGCAGTGACAGTCGCCCGCGCGTTCGTCTCCGGATGGGTGGCCCGTTACGGCGTGCCGTCCTGCGTCACTACTGACCGTGGTGCACAGTTTGAGTCCAACCTGTGGGACCACCTGTCGCAGATCCTCGGCTGCCACCGCATTCGCACCACCAGTTACCATCCGCAGAGCAACGGTCTGGTGGAACGTTTCCACCGTCAGCTGAAGACTGCACTGCGTGCGGCTGATCCGCCGGTCCGCTGGACCGACCTCCTGCCCATGGCTCTTCTCGGCATCCGGTCGGCGCTGAAGGAAGACCTGGGCTGCACGCCGGCGGAGCTCGTCTACGGACAGCCTCTGCGCCTTCCTGGCGAACTCGTCTCTGCTGCGTCAGGTCCGACGCACCTGGATCCGGCGTCCTACGTGGACGAGCTGCGCCGGGCCATGCGCCGGGTTCGACCGGCGGCCCCTCGATCTCCGTCCTCCGCGCCTGTGTTTGTGCCGAGTGAGCTGCTGGACTGTCAGCATGTTTTCATTCGGCGAGACTCCTCTCGCCCACCGCTGACGCCGCCGTATGACGGTCCCTTTCGTGTGGTGCGCCGTTCAACCAAGACTGTCACCGTGTTCCGTAACGGTCGTAATGATACTGTCTCGCTGGACCGTGTCAAACCCGCCTTTCTTGATGCGCCGACTGCTACTCCGAATCATTGCGACCCGCCCCGTGACGCGCCGGGCCCCAACACTGCGGTGCCAGGTTCGGGACCTAAGCTCCTACTCCCATCCAAGACTCCACGCCGACCCATCGAGTCCGTTCCGTCCACTGCGGTCCCTGTACCTCCTGCGCCCTCCCCTGCCAACGGTCCTCCTGCGCTCTCCCCTGCCGACTGTCAGTCAGCGGCGGCGGCCGGCTCGTCGTGCCCGCCTGGTGCCATGCCGGCGGCGCCTCCGCTCCGCCCTGCCCTCCGTACCCGCTCCGGTAGAGAAGTCCGCCCGCCTCTCCGGTTCCGACACGTCACGTTCCTCTCCGTTCCCCAGTGACGTGTCTAGGGAGGGGGTATACTGTAGCGGGTGCAACAGCGCTCCGTTGCTAGCGACGGCGCCGTAGCGTGTGCAACCCAGCGGCGGCGTCGTAAACTAGTAAATCCTTTTGATGCACGCAGATGTCAGTGGTTGATTGACACATATGTCTTGTGATTGTTTTCTGCCTTATATGTTATCTCTTGTAACCGTAGCTGTTGTATTGTCACGCCTTAAGAGGGTAATCTAGGAGCGCAGGTGTGGAGTAATTTTTCTTTGTCCAACTGTCACTGTAATTTGTAATATTACCATTTAGACGCTGAAACTACCTATGCAAGGTAGCCTTGCTAGAAATATAGTGTGCCAATTTTTGTTCAATAAATCAGCACGATCCACGATCGGTAACTCGTTCATCCTAGTCAAGCTCAGAGCTACCGACACGGGCCCACATCGGGAGTCTCCTCCTCCCTTGGAGTTGTGTGGTGCCGACGGTGGCGGATGGTAGACTCTGCCTTGACAATCCTTTCACTCCCTCTCACAACGAGAGGTGAACTACTAGCGGTATACACTGTTAGCGGTTCAAGTGGCGACCGGCTACTCTCAGCCGTGCCACAATAGGATTAGCGTACAGTCATGGCGCAGTTGCGGCATTTACCGGGACGACTGAGCTAAATTTTAAATACTTATATCATTTGATAGGCTCAAAAACATTTAGAATTAACATGAAATCAAAAAATGAAAACAAAGTTTTCTTGTTTGGACGCGTGTATATCACACCACGGTGAGATTTACATAATGCATCGCACTGTACACTGAAAAAAATTTTTACTCAGGCCAGGCATTACTCAGTAATAACTCATGAAGAAACTCAGTGAATACGATAGTGGTGCTCACTTATTGGCTGATCTAACTCACATCACCAGGGCGACTTCGTTATGCGTGAGTTCTGAGTGCTTAGTTTCGTGAATTCGAACCGAGTCGCAAATGAGTTTTGCTTGGGCAAATCTAGTTTCCTGCGCAATGCATGAGTTCTCGCGAATTCACGTGCAGTTGTGCGTGAGGTACCCCCGGCTTGAAGATGCGCGCATGCGCGGCAGGGTGAGTTTCCTGCGTGATGCGTGAGTTCGCGTGATGAGTATTATAGCCGTTGCGTTCGAAAACCGCGGCGCGCGCTTCAGTCCGTTGTGGCGAGGTGAGTCGCGTAGTTCACGTTGAATTGTTGAGGCTATTGTGAAATTGTGCAGGAGAGTGCAGGAGCGGGGAAGGCGTGCAGCGAAGGATGGGACGGGTAAGTTATCTGTGAAGAGCTCGGTGATTGTCGATGAAGCTTTTATCAATCGCACGCGCCGCGGAGAACAGGGAGGTGAACTGATGGACCAGCAGACATTCCCCGCCGGCGTCAGGAGGTCGGTGCCAACCGTGAACGGCGGAGCAGATCGATCGAGAAACTGAGGGATACCTACCCGGCATAGTTCGAGAAAGAAGAGGTGAGTTATGTTATATTTAGGTACATTAAAAAAACATGTTTGTGGGATAATGTTATCCTTATCCTAAAAGAACGTTCATTTGACCCTTTTTACTTCTTTAAACAATAACTCCGTCACGACCCGATGTTTTTTTTTGGGGGGGGGGGGGGGCGAAGGTTGTTTGAAGTCGATTCTTTCCCCATAGGCACAATGTTAAAAATGTAAAATATTGGGGGACACGTCCCCCGTACCCTTCCCCCCCCCCGGTGGTGGAGCCCATGGTCTTCATTCCGCTCGCTGAACCGTTTAAGATTCTTTTGCCTCGTTTGTGCTTACTATTTTTCCGACTGTTATTATTTTTTTCCGACTGTTTTTTTATACCTACACACATATTTTCGTACACTATTCGATTTCAGCGAGCATTTTCAACCTTTCTTACATATTAGATTATTAGATACCGCGGTGAGACGCGTTTGGACGTGACATAATTATTTCCATTACTGTTAAGTACCAGTAAAACGCCTTTTGGGCGAAGAACGAGGGAGCGAGATAGTGAGCTCTGCACGTGCGGAAGGGCGAGAGGGTGCTTCCAACATGCTTGCGCAAAGCACCCTTCTAACCGGTCGCTAGCGGTGTGCCAAATTTGAACGCAATGGGCCCAGCCGTTCCTGAGATCTGGAAGCGGCATTCTGCACGTGCGCACGTGCTAACGGGGTCCAAAATGACTTTTGCACGGCACCCTACTAACTGGTCCCCAACCGTGTACCAAATTTGAGCGCAATCGGCCCAGCCGTTCTCGAGATCTGGAAACGCCCCCTGCACGTGCGCACGTGCAGTAGCACCCCAACCGCAACACATGGGAATGCATTGCCTGGTGGGTGCCTACCTGTATGCCAAGTTTCAGCGAAATGGCCCCAGTAATTACCGAGTTACTGAAATGGGAACAAATTTGGCACCTCTTATTGTTGTATTTTGCACGTGCACTGGGGGTGACCCACATGCATCGAGAGTATCCTATTTTGGGTAGAAGGGATGCTGCTACCCTACAAAAATTACCGCAAGTCAATCGCCTAAGCGGCTGCTGAGATATGAGCCTCTCAAAAGCACTACTTTTGCAAAACAGCTTGAACACCCTTGACTTTTCACGTGGCACGTGCCACGACGGTCACTGAGATGTATCAAAAGTAGTCAATTACGGGGTAGAAGGGATGGGGCTACCCAACAAAAAAGACCGCAGGCCAATCGGTCCAGCGATTGCTGAATATAAGCATCTCAAAAGCGTTACAGGCCGGGCCGGGCCGGGCCGCTCATACTGAGATTTGTCCGTTATATTGAAAAGACTCACTTCGCTCGCTGCGCTCGCTCGCTCGTAATAACACATTTTATGTGATTGTTTCAAGCTGATTTTAATATTGGACGCCCATGAAAGTGTTTTGCGAGACTTAAACCCGTCTGTTAAAGGAACCCTCCCACCTTAACATTAGATTTGAGTTGAGATAGCCAAAATGGGGTCCCTGGCTCACAATTACCGGTTTCGGCACTCACAACATCGAGAAATGCCTTAAATCGGAAATATTGAATTTCAAAATTGCAGCATTTTGATTCAGAGGGGCTAATGCATAGGAATACCCCTCTGAATGTGTGACGTCAGCGCAGATATCTAACGATTTTTAAATGTTTGACTAAAACGTTTTGTAGCACGCGGTGGTATATGCTGCTTTGCGCGCAACAAGTGCCGCACTTTCAGCTGCCAAACTATTGCTTCCAAATAAAGTCGCTAGGAACAGCGGAGATCCCAAAAAGTAAACAAAAGTAAAAGTCTAATATCTTGAAAACCGGTGAATATTTTTCGGTGAAATTTGGTAGATATTCGTTTTCGCTCTTTCTGAACCGAGCGACATCACTTTCATGCCAATTCATAAACTGTTTTGAGGGTGGGAGAGTCCCTTTAAGGTGACCATCCCACCTTGACCCGCGCTGTGCTGGGTGGCGTTTTACGCCCTCCCCCCCCCGCCCCCTCAGGTTTTTCGCGAATATCTAAGAACGGCGGCGCGCAGCGCCACCATTTTCGGCACACCTGCTCATTCATTTTTTTCTGCATATGAAGAAATTTTAGACCCAGGTCGTTCAAGGTCAGGTCACGTCAAATGACTTAACATCAGAAAAAAATTCAATGGTCGCTGACGATCGCACCGTTCGCAACGTGCCATGGAAACCGTTCGATATTTTGGTCATTTTCGCTCAAGGAATTCACCGCTTGCTTTCACACCAGTTTGAGGTAAAATGTCAAAAAAATATCGAACGGATTTCATTTTATAGCGTTTTTGATACTGTCCCACTCCCATGTCTCAAGTATCAACCTTACGGCATGTATAAAATATATTTGCTAGTGCAATAAAACACCTCATATGTGTTCAGCTTGACGGTTTGGATCGACTGATATGCAACATGACCTGGTCAGGTCAACCTGAGGTCAAGTTTTAAAAATGGCCTTTCAAGGTCTAATTATAGTTCATTCGTCCCGACGAGAGGAACACTATGCTTACGGCAAAATAAATGTCGTGACTCTTGAGTGGAAAGTATTACAGAAAACATTTTGGTAAAAACGGCTTTTTTAGAGTTTTTGCTCTCTGGAGGCTTAATTGTTGACCTGAGGTCAAATCTGAGATCAAACGCCAGCAAAAAAAAAAAAAAAACGTCGAAAGGGCTTTTGACTGCATTTTTCCGCGGGCAGCTCTTTTGGTTCCGAGTTAAGCACCAGTTTTTCGAAAATATTGAAATAAGCAAAATTTGGCCTTTCCTGACCTCTGGTGACCTGGCACTTGACTTGACCTTAAAAATTACCCAAGTATTTCCTTAAATATCTTTTATGCTTTTTCGAATGCCGCTTACTGCGTGTCGCTACGTGGCCCAACCCCAACAGCCGAGTTAGAAGAGGGGACGTGAAGACGACCCCCTCCCCCCCCCCCCAGTACATCACGGTAAACTCAGAGCACCAGCACGGCGCGGTTTAACATTAATTTTGAGCTGAAGTAACTTGATAACTTTTGATATTTCAATCAACTTGCATGCCCTATAACTTCCGTTTCTCTTACTGGCAAAAGAAAATCTGACTTTTTTATTGTGTTTTCAGGGAACGGCCCATTGAGCCTCCTCTGCATCTTGGCGGAGAAGGCGTCAGTGGTGGCGTACACGGGTGACGAAAATTTGGATCACCCCTATCATAACAAGTCCGAAGGAAACGAACGGTGCCGCCTCATCGTGGAGCGAACGGAAGTCTTGTGGGGATCCATGGTTTGGAAGGGAGTCTTTTGCTGTGGGCGACGGCGCACTTTGTGCTCAGTCAACAAACGGCGCACAAAGTGCGAAACACGCTGTGGTTTGTGTGTATCCATGTGCTCCACACACCATTCAATGCTGAGCGCCAGCCACCTGTAGCCGCGAAGACTGAGGTCGAGAAGCTGGCAAAAGAGTGAAGCTGAGCTGACGTGGAGTCGATCCCCCCCCCCCCGACGCAGTTTGGCGTGTGTCAGAATTGAAATACAGCGCAATGCGACCGTTTCTACAAACATGTATTTCTTGTAAGGGCTGGGGCGAATAGTGCAAGACTAGGCGTTGGTCGGGCATGGTATAATACAGATATGTATGTATGCTGGTTTTGGGCAATGATTCGTTATATATTGGCCAATCCCAATATATAGACTAGCTGCCTGGTAGTGGCTGTTGTATCAGCATCATGCATGCATATTGCATAATGCTGATGCGGCAGCTGTTATCATGGGCGGCGAGCCTATACATTGGCTTGAGCCAATATAAAACGAATCAGATCAGCCGTTTCAGGCGGCGCCTGAGTAACACCCGAGTATCGTATGAGTTATCGATGTGAGTACGTCCTGAGTACAGCCCTAGTTTTCACTGAATAGCCGATGAGTTCCAACTGAGTTATGGCCGTACTACCACCTGAGTTCTACATTAGTACCAGCTGAGTTACATGTGGGTTACTTCCTAGTTTTTCATGAGTAATGACTTACTAATACCTGAGTTTGGCCTGAGTTGTCTGAGTAGGACATGAGTTACGCATGAGTACTTACTGAGTTTTATCTGAGTTTTACCATCGGACAAAATGGCAACTCACTTAGTTACTCACATGCTACTCACTTGCAATGAGTTTTGCCCGAGTTTTACCTGCGTTCCGCCCTGAGTTTTACCTGAGTACGCGGATTTAGAGTGAGTTTTACCATTGGACAAAATGGCAACTCAGTCATTACTCAGAAAAGTGAGTAAAAATTTTTTCAGTGTAGTGTAAACCTCACCCGGGTGTGATTTAGGGCCTGTTCCAGCGCCTCCAGAAACCTCCGGAAAGCTCCAGAAAGCTCTAGAATCCTCCAGAGAGCGTTCCAGCGCCTCCAGAAAGCTCCAGAAAGCTCTCGCCAAAGCTCCAGAAACCTCCAGTAGCCTCCAGAGAGTTGGGAGGTCCAAATTTCTCTGGAGGCTCTGGTCTACAATTATGGCGCACATGTGACAATCATGAATGTAAACAAAGGACTTTTGACTGATTATTTTACAACTTGAATGTTAAGAAAATTACATTGCTATGATTTTGTTAACCTTTCTTATTAAAATTGAAAACAAATTTTGTGTTACAAGAGAGAACAATCGTCATTCTTTTGGTATCTGTGATGCCAATCTCCAGAAATCTCCAGATTGCGTTCCAGCGCCTCCAGTGAAACCTCTGGTAGAGCCTCCAGTCAAGAATTTCTACTGGAGGCGCTGGAACAGGCCCTTACACAATACACTACTCCTGTGTATATCACACCACGCG